CTAAAATTTAACCTTTCATGTCAGAAAATCAGGAAATAAAAACAGAAGGAAATTTTCTTAATAAAAAATATATCTATTACAAACTTGTAGCAAGCATCATATTTACTGATAAAACTTTATGGCTACTCATCTTAACATCAGGATTAAAACAGAATGGCTGTTGGTTTTTATCTCCAACTAGTCATTTTTTGGACATTTCAAGGTCAGAGCAGTAAGACAAGGAGAGGATTATAAAGAGAAGAGAAATTATCATTGTTTACAGAAACATGACTTCTTTTATAGATTTGAAGACAAAATACAAGCAAATAATTTCTTTTTTTTGAGTCAGGGTCTCACCATGCAGCCTTGAACTCCCAGCAATTCTCCTGCCTCGGCCTCCCGAATGCTGGGACTGCAGGCATGTGCCACCCACCGTGTCTGGCTACAGGCCAATAACTTGAGTTCATTAATAAGCCAACAAGTTACTAAATGCAAACCTGCTATGGAAATAATTGCATTCTCATAGGACATAATAAATAATTTTTAAATAAAACATTAAAACTATTAATTACAAAGTCATTCCTTCTCAAATTAGTCACTGAATTAAAAGCAAACCCAACTGGCTGTTATGGGATATGTGATAAGATGATTGAAAAGTCACACGGAAAACCAAGGACCAAGAAACTGGGCAGACCCAGGATGAAAAGGTCCCTCCGCCGCCTCAAGTATGTCAGCCATGAGTGTTAGGAAGCAGGGATTTACCCCCAGAAGTGGACCTCATTCTGGGGAACCAAAGGGCCAGAAGAAGTTGGAGGGCCTGAGGAGAATGCTTAACTTGCTCTCTGGAAACACTGCGTGAACAAGTCAGAGTGTACAGGAAAATCTGAGTCCGTGTGCACGAGTGGCTCTCAGCACTGCTCCGTGGCTGGGGCTCGAGGTGACATCTGTGTGAAGCCACGGCCACCCCACGCGCAGCTCTTAGCTGTGTGTCTGCTGGGAGGCCTTAGGCTGCAGAATGGAAGGTTGGGAAGAGTGAAGACTAACTGGAATCCTTCAAATGCTGTTTCTGTGTCCATTACCACAGCTGCTATGGTTTAGATGTGACCCACCCTCCAAAACTGGTCCCCAGTCTGACAGCCGTGGGCCGGCGGGGCTTCCAGAGATGTTTGGAATGGGAAGAGGGAGCTGTACCTTTCTCACTCTCACTCGAGGGACTGGACTAGCTCCTGCGAGAGTGGGTTATTATAAAATGAGGCTCACCCTCAGGCCTTGCCTTCCACACACTGTCTTGTCTGCTCTCTGCTGGGTGTTGCATCAGCAAATGGTCCTTGCTAATGGCATGGACGTTCAGCTTCCAAGCTATGGGCTAGAATAACTCTGTTTCCTTTATAAATCACCAGGCCTCAGGGATCTTGTTATAGCATCAGAAAAAGGATTAAGAGACCATATAATTGCGAAGACCTTCACAGAATGAGACTCTTCCCTTTTTTTCCACATCCAAATCTTTTCAGTCCTGCACAAACTCTCTTCTTGGTCAACTTGAACATGGAACCTCACAGGGAAGGGAATTCATAAGTCAGGAATTATAGTCACAGACTAGCCAGCACATCAAATTTCATGTGAATGCTGTTATAATTAAAGCAGCGAGTTATTTGGTGCAGGCAACAATGAAACCCACCCATTAACCAACCAGTGAAAATTGAATATTTCTTATCCAAAATGGTTGCCAATAGAAGTGTTTTAGATTTTTTGAGCTTTAAAAAGGTTTGTGTAAATATGAGATGCATTGTGAATAGGACTCAAGTTCAAATGTAAATTTGTTAATGTTTCATAGCTGCTTTCTACACATCACCTGAAAGTAATTTAATTTTGTGTAGTATTCCAGTATGTCTGTGTTTTGACTGTGATCAAGCACATGAGGTCACACAAGTGACATTATTTAGCTTTGTGTCAAGGTTTAAAGAGTTATGGAGTTTGAAGTGTTTCAGACTTCACAATTTTCGATTAGCGATGGTTAACCTGTGATGGAACAGAAAAAAGTCTGAAAAACATTCTTACCTCATGCTAGTCACAAAATTAAATTGCATGTGGATTAAATCCTGAATATTAGGTGTGAAGACCAAACTTAAACACTTTCAGAAATAAGATAGAAGAGGTGGGTTTTTTTTCCCCCTGTAAGGAGAATTTACAGTTACCTTCCGTAGCTACAGGTTCCATATTCATGGATTCAGCCAAATGTAGATGGAAAATGTTTGAAACAATGCTTGTATTTTCATTGGACACTTGCAGGACCTTTTCCTTGTCATTGGTCCCTAAACAAAACAGTATGGCAACTATTTACATAACATTTACATTGCACTGGGTATGATAAGTAATCCAGAGACAGGAGGATGGGCATAGGTTACTTGCAAACACTATGCCATTTTACATAAGCTGAGCTGGGCAAACCCCCAGGTATTCAGGAGGCTCAACCTGGGTCCACAAGTTTGAGGCCAGCCTGGGCAACTTCACAAGACTCTACCTTTGGAAACAAAACAAGACAAGACAACCAAATAAATCCAAACACCTATAGATTTTGATGTCTGTAGAGGGTTCTGGATCTATTCTCTGTGAGTATACAGGAATCATTGCATTAATTAAAAATGGGGGGGGAGGAAGACGAAGAATGATAAAATGGACTGGATTCTAATTAAAAACTTCATGACAATAGATTCATAAAAACTAAAGAGACAAGCAGTCTCCATTACTTTTCTCTTGTTGCTAAGACAAAATACTGACACCAAAAATTAAGGAAGAAAAGGCTTGTTTAGCTTACAGTTTGTGGAGGTTTCAGGCCATAATCAGCTGGCTCCAAGGCAGGGTGGCACATGGCACCGGGGCAACACTTCAAGGCTGCAGTCAGCAAAAGCAGCCAGAGCAAAACGAGGGGCAGAGCAAGCCTCTTTTCCTCATTTATGTTGTTCACCCCGCACCCCAACCGCTGGTGTAGCATTTACAAAATCTCTGCACCCTCCTCTTGCACAGGATGAGGGCATTTACAGAGTAAGATCCCTGCAGAGTCTTTTAGTTAAATTTCTAAACTGCTCAAATTGACACAATGTGTCAACCCATAACAAAAGCCACATACTAAAAAAAAAAAAAAGTATTTACAATGTATAGCCATCCATGAATGATTGTTATCTATAATATTTAAAGAATACCTTCAAATCAATATGAAGAGATCCAGCCTAAGGAAGGTAGTAGGAAATTCACAGTAAACAAGACCAAAATGTGGCCATTTTCACATGATGAAGCAAGGCTCACACTTAGGGAGCACTAGCCATATATTGCTCTAATGGTTTTATGGCCACACAGGCCAAATGCAATTATTGGGCCCTAACAGGGGGCTCTAAGTGCTTTCCATGACTTAACACACACAATCCTGGCAATAACCGTGTGAGGCATTTACAGCTAACTTTTCCCTCTACCGTCCAGGGAAAGTAAGGCCAATATCACACATCCAAATAAGCCATAAAGCCAGGATTTGAACATCTGTGATTTGGCCCCAACATCTGGACTTTCAACTGCTATCGTTTCTTGGGATCTAGAGCTTCATTTGGGGAAGGTCAAATGATTCTGAGGTTGAATGGTGGTGATGGAGGGGGTAATGCTGTGAATGCATCTGCTACTATGGAATACGCTGAACTGTACACTAAAAAATAGCTAAAATGATACATTTGATCTTATGTGTATTTTACCATGCTAAATATATGAACAAAAATAACAATAAAAATAAACATTACTCTGAAAGTCAAATTGTGTTATTAGAAGTCTTTCACCCTGCCAGCCGGGAAACCAGCAAGGAAGCTGCCCCCTCCCCTGCCCCTCATAAGCAACTGGACATGACACGGGCTGAGATGATTGTAACTGAAGTACGGAAGCAGCCTGACATTTGTGTGGTTTGATTGACTGTGCAAGCCTGAGATCGGTAGTCTGAACAGCTAGTTAGAGGATAACAATGTGCATTATAGTAACGATTGTGGATTTCCTACTGTCCTGTCTACTGTTCTGTTTTATTTTATTTTACTGTTCTGTTTTATTCCTTTTAGAATATAAATAAATAAATGTCTTTAAAAGAGGAGGTTGGGGGGATCATGTGTCTCTCTCTCCCTCTCCCTCTCTGATAATTTCCACCTCTGTTTTCCTGCTTTTAAGACTCCAGTGCCACAGCCCCAGCCCTCAGGGGTTCCTCTGTCCCCTGCAGGTGTCCTGGTTCCCAGGGGGTACCTTCCCTTCCCCTCTAAGGGCCTGGCCTGCCCTCTGCACTGCACGCACTGCCTGTGGTGATGGCAGACCCTGGAATGTCTCCTCTCCCCTCCCAGCGCTCTGAGTGCCGCTCTGTCTCTTTCCGTCCCTGCCCAAGCTTTGCATATTTGTTTTCAGTTATTGTCTCATTGCAAATTCTGATTCCTTCCTGTGCCTGGAGATTTGTTTTTGGTTCTTTGACCCTATGTAAGTGTAACCAGGAATAACTCAGCTATTCAGCTTTGCAAGAAGGATCAACTTTTATGTTAAGGTACAGAGTTTTGGGATGGAAGTTGTGTTGCAGCTCCATAAAATGGTTCATCAAAGTTAGATTGCTCATCATTATGGAGTCAGTCTGGAGCCCTTAGGGTGATCTCTTCATATGTGTGCATGTGGATTCCTCCATTTATCTGCAGGTGCAAAGGAAACCCCTGAAACTGATAACAGAGGTCCCTGGGGGAAGGAGTCCTCATTCTTGGGGTCAGAAACAAAGGCTGAGTGAGGGGAGAAGGCGGGAAAACATCACTGTCTACTGCTCATCTTTTTTTCATCTTGAATTTTAAAAAATAAACACATATTATTCTGACAAAAATAATAAATATTCACAATAGAAGCTGCGTTCTGAGAGGCTCTTCTGGAGCTCATTTTGGGGTGACTCCAACTTCTGGAGTGAGCCCCAACTTCCGGGGTGACCGTCCACAGGAGGAGTGACCTCACCCGTGGCTGGGTCTGCCGCAACAGTCACAAAAACCATTTCTGTAATCTGAAAGGACGTTGGGAAGGGAGTCACGGTGGCTGCGGAGATGAATTATGAGGCTGTCGCCTCTCATCTGCAGCTGCTCTGTCTCTGAAAGCAACTTTGGAGAGAGTCTAGAAGGACACAGCTTCCTCCTTTAATCAGCCGAGGAGCCAGGTAAGGTAAATATTTGAGACTGAAACAGCCCAAGTCCATGGAAGCTGGGATTTCAGCCTGGAAGCTTGGGCTGCCAGGTTGCCAGGAGACCCAGAAAGGTGTTTTGCCTCTGAGAGCATTCCTCAGTTTCAGAGAGGTGGAAAGATTATCAGCTGCGGTACTCAGATCTACGCGTGAGACAGGACAAAAGCACATATCTGCAGCTTACATCAAGGCGTGTGTTTCATGTGCTTTTATTTATGACAGTGACTTTTTACACTCAAAAAACAAAAAACAAGGAACCCATTTCCTGCTGAACCCAGTGTCCCACGCCTATGATTGCATTTTTCTGGGAGGATGAGGCAGGAGAATTGCAAGTCTGAGACCAGTCTGGCAAATTAATACAGTTGCATTGAAAACAAAACCTAAACAACAGCAAACAAACACAACCAATCAAACAACGAAACAATAATCTGTTCTCTAGGTGTGGACATGCTCATCCTGCTATATTTCCTGGCCCATTCTCTAAGGGACCCTAAATAAAACTCACATCATGGCATCGTGCTGCTTAAAACTTTCAGTGTTTCCGTTGCTCTTAGGTTAAAGTCCTGTCTTCTGAGATGACTGTACAGTTAGGCATCTAAGCCGGGATGGCTATTAATACCGAGGCTAGGAAAACAGGTGTGGCGGGGACTTCCCAGCGGAAACCAGAGACCTATGCAGGAGGCCCAATGGGCTCTGGCTCCTGGCTTTCTCCCTGATTGTTTCCATCTGCTCACTTTGCTCTGGGCATCTTGTCTCTGTTGTTTGAAGGAGCCCCTGGGAGGTCTCCGCTTTGCTCCTTCCTGTGCTCCTTATTTATCTCCAGGGGTTCAGAGGTCACATGCTCAGGGAGGCCTGCCCACTGCGCCCAGCCTAGAATGCCCTCCCCGTTACTTTATATCTGATCTCTGCTCGCTTCCTTCCCAGCATCTGTTACAGTCTGGAGAGATGTTTATGCGTTTGTTTATTATCTATCTGTGTGTTTATTATTCTCTGCTTCCGTCTTGTTCACTAGTCTGGCACGTGGCACGGGCAGAGTCAGGATGTGGCAAATGAGTGGACGGTCAGGTGTGGCCTTCAAGCTGGCCCAGGTACCCGGAATTAACCCTGCGTGGATTTGCATCACAAGAATCAGGTGCAGCCTCTGCACGGCCCAGTGAATAACACTGGAGAGAAGCAAGGGAATAAAGACCCAGAGAAGGGAGAGATGGAAAATCCATGTGACCAGGGCTGGTCTAGTCACAGTCCTTGTGAATATCTAATTTATCCCTTGTGCCTTCCTTCACGGAGATTGGGGTTCCGTATTTGCAATCAAAAACTTCTAGTAAAATATAATTGATCCTTTCCTCTGGAATGTACACTTCTCTTTTGCAAATAAAGGAACATTTATCCTTTTCTTTGAAGAAGAATATACCAGTTGTCTCCCTTTATCCGTCTTTGCTCTCTGTTCTGGTGAAAGAAGAGACATCAGCTTCCTGTTGCTGCTCTAACCCATTGCCACAAGATTAAGGACCTAAAAATAACATACATTCATTATCTTATACCTCTGAAGGTCAGAAATCTAAAATGGGCTGGTTGGGCTGTGCTCTTTCTAGAGCAGGGGTCCAGCCTTTTTTTTTTTTTTGGCACTAAGCATTGGTTTCATGGAAGACAATTTTTCCATGGATGCATAGGAGTGCGTGCGTGTTTCCAGGATTCAAAGGAACGTGCAGCCCTGATACTGGCACGTGCAGTTCATGGTAAGGCTCGCGTTCCTTTGAGATTCTAACGCTGCTGCCGCCCCGCCAGGAGGTCATCACGTGAGCACTGGAGAACAGCTGCAAGGATGGAGGGATCTTCACTCTCTGTCATTTATCTCCTGCTGTGCAGCAGGTTCTTCACAGTGAGTCAGGGGCTCCCATCCGAGAGCCTACACTGGGAAATCTGCTTCTTTGCGTCTTCCAGCTCTGAGGAGCCTCAGGTGTTCACCGTCTCACCATCCCCACCCCATCGCCCTGAGATCTCTGCCTCTGTCGTCACACGTCTTTATCTGCACCTGGCTCTTTTTATAAGGATGCCCGTGGTTACACTGGTTATACCTAGATAATCCAGGATAATCCTCCACATCTAAAGATCTTTACCTTAATCTCCTGTACAAAGTTCTTTTCCCATATCAAGTGGTATATTTGTAGATTTTCGGGATTGGGGTGTGGTCACTATTACTGAGCCATGATTCTGTCTACCACAAGAGGAATGCTTCTTTTAACCCATTTCTTCTTCTGGTTGGGATGAGGACACAACAACTGGAACTCAAGCAACCACCTTGGGCCGTGGTTTGGAAATTATGGACTTAGGGAGGAGAGGAGGGTAGCAATATGGAAAGAGCCCCACGTCCACCACTCAAGTTTGTGAATCCTTCCTCCCAGCCCTAGACCGGCCTCTTGACGTCTTCTAGGTTTTTAAAATTTTAAAAATCTGACTAATGCAATTATTTTCTTTATATTCTTTTTCTTTCTTTCTTTTTTTTTTTTTTTTGTCTTTTTCCTTTTTATTGGTACCAGGGATCGAACTCAAAACCGCCTACTTGCAAGACAGGTACTTATGCCGCTGAGCTAAATCCCCAGCCCCCAATTCTTTATATTCTTAATAAGCTTATTTGTAGCTTTTTGTGGTGTTGAGCATTGAACCCAGGGCCCCGTGCATGCTAGGCAATTACTTTACCACTGAACTACACCCAATTCTTCTTTCTTTTATTTTCTCCTTTTCTGGCTGGTTTTATATCCCACCTATTTTGCACACTATTGATTATTTTATAAGAGCTTGAGTTTGTTGTTGTTGTTTTGAGACAGGATCCCTCTATGTAGTCTAGGCTGGTCTTGAACTCACCATGTAGCCCAGACTGGCCTCGAACGTGTGGTGACCCTCCTGCTTCAGACTCCTGAGTGCTGGCATTACAGGCATCTGGAAAGAACTTGAATTTTGATAGCTATCTGTATTCCAGTTTTTATTCAATTATCCTCCATATATTTGACAATTAGATAATTTCCAGTTGTCTTTTACCTGAAAACAAAGTTCTAGTGCTCTAATACAAGAATTCTAAGAAGAAATTCATGACTTTAATGTGCATCTCAGATCGGGGCATGTGCTCAAAATTGATTATTAAAGACCTAAGTCAGGCAAAAGAATTTACTCTGACTAAATCAATGCCATCTACAAGAAGGGCACAAGAAGGGCACATCAACTTTGTGTGCCCTGCATGTGAAAACCTAATTCAAGTAGGTTATAAGAACATCATAATATAACACTTTTTTTTATGTTCCCAAGCACACTGTCTTGATTGTCTGGATAATTTTTAAAAAAACAACTTACCATACTTGAGTAAAACTTAATTTTATCAAGTATTTCAGATTGAGTTTTCCTACAAAGAAGTTGGTGGGAAAAAATTAGAATCCTCCATACATTGTAGTAAGTCTCTTTACATGCATGTCTTTAATGTAATATTAAAGTAAATAGTCTAACTCTACTAGCAAGCGAATTTGGCAAAATATGTGAGGAAAAAAGAATTGTGACTCTGAGAAAGCACGAACCTGGAGTAAAAAGAGAAAGGGCAGCTTGCTGCTTCCTGGCTCCTGCCTGCACTGACATGGACTGTCCCTCCACTGTCCTGCCCCTCTGCCTTGCCATCCTACCGTGGAGCCAGCCTCAAAAGGGCAAAACAAATTGTAGAGCAAAACCAAATTACATTATTCTGTCCACATTGCACACAACTGGCACACTGCACAATCTTTATTGCTCTATATATTTCCTTGATTAGCAGCCATAAAAGTTCAGAGGAGCTCAAATACCGGCCAATGATAAGAAATCTTTTGTAACATGCAGTTTACAGCGGTGTGTTTAATCATAGCAAAGATGAAGTTCGAGATCTCTTTTCAATGGTTGTTTACTTGCCAGTAAAATTTGATATTTTATTTATGCATTTATCTCATCATTTCCAGTTTCCTTTATCTTTACTTCTCCTTATCGTACCCCTAACTACTTGATAGTGTGTATTTATTTACTTTCTTGTTTGATATTTCATTAAAATATAAACCAATAGGGCAAAGATCTTGTTTTCATTTTTGCTGGCAGTTAATTTCTTAGTGTGGTAAATTGCTCAGTATATTTACTCCTTAGCACAGTTGTGGCATGCATAAAGTACACATCTAATCACAAACACCACCTTCAAGGTGGATGGTGATTTTGCAGGTGGATCCGAGAAATGTGGGCAGGGTGCGTCTTAGTTACTTTCTTATTGTGGAGACAAAATATCCAAAGACCACCAGTTAAGAGAGGAATGGTTATTGTAACTCACTGTAAAAGTTTCAATTCGTAGTTGGCTGCCTCCAAGACAGAGTGGCTTAGCAGAGGGACATGTTGGAGGAGAAACAGTCCATGTCAGGGCAGGCAGGAGGCAGGAAGCAGCAAGCCCTCCTTTCTCTTTTTATTTCAGTTTTGTGCTTTCTCAGAGTTGCAATTCTTTTTTTCTAACATATTTGTGCCAAAATTGCTTATTATCAGAGTAATACGATTTATTTTAATATTACATTAATGACATATGCATGTAAAGACACAAGTATATATTACATTAATGACATATGCATATAAAGACACAATGAAACGTAACTGAAATACTTTGGAAAGATTCAAAAATATCAAATTAGTAATAAGAGGTTAAGCCAGGTGTGGTGGTGCACTCCTATAATCCCAGCATGCGGGAGGCTGAGGCAGGTGGATCGTTGCAAGTTCAAGACCAGCCTGGGTTACAAAGTGATCCCAAGGCCATCCCAAACTGCAGAGTGAGACACTATCTCAAAAAGACAAAAAATCTACTCAAGTAATAAGAGGTTGGCAAAAATCATAAAATCTATATTTTCCTCAGAAATGCCTTTAAGTTCTCCCCTACTATGAAGAAAGACAAATTGGAAATGAAATATGAGATCATATGGATGTAGTTAGACAAA